GCAGCGCCATCCACATCCACCTCTGCTAGCTTGCTCTCTGCATCCTTTCTTCTTGGGGGGAGGGTAGATTGCACCCTTTATTTCTCTGACCACCCACCCTGGACCCATGCTGCAGACACACATGGGACTTCTTCCTCTCTTCACAGACCCAGGCATATTCCTGTAGCCCTCACTACCCCTTCTCTCTGCTCTGTCCTTGTACACTCTGAACACACTGAGCTCCATTTCATACTTGGGGACGCTTTCCTGTCCTGGCACCCTCTCATGATGGCACTCCTGTCCCCTGACCTCTCCATTTTCTCTGATACTTAGCATACCCATTGTATATTCACAGCCCAGGCCTCTCTCTGTCTCTCTGTGTCTCTCTCTGTCTCTGTCTCTCTCTCTCTCTCTCTCTCTCTCTCTCTCTCTCTCTCTCCCATTTTTTTTGAGACAGGGTTTCTCTCTGTAGTCCTGGCTGTTTCTGGAACTCACTCTGCAGACCAGGTTGACCTTGATCCGCCTGCCTCTGCTTCCCAAGCAATGGGATTAAAGGCGTGTGCCACCACCAACAGGCTACTTCTGTTCACTTTCATCCTTTCTTTCCTGTACCCTCTTGCACACTTCCTCTGCTCACTTGCCCTCCCAAACCCCTTTGCTTCTCCCCAGGAACTTTTTTTTTTTTTTTTTAAATGGTGCTCAGGTCTGGAATGTGCTTGCTGCACTGTTGTGGTCTTTCTAGGTAACTTTTCCGGTTGCCCTGCAGAGTCTGGCCTCTTTTTCGTTTGCATACTTGCTTTCTCACGTACTCTTAGCCAGTCCTCTCCTCCTCTTTTCCTGAGCCCACTCTAGGTCTTTGCTCACCTCCTCCTGCTGTCCCTAGGGAGAGGAGACCCTGCGCGTGCACGCTGGCTCCCTGCTCACTAGGCTGTCACTCAGACCATCCATCCATCCTTCCATCTGTCCATTTTGCACGAAGATCCCCTCCTCCCCCAACCCCTTCTTCTCTCCCAGATTACCCCTCCCCATCCTTCCAGCATGGCTCCTCCCACCCCGCACGTTCCCCCTCCCTGCTTCTGGGGCTTGGGAATTTAAAGCCACCTTTCCTCCCCTAGGTAGCCCCCTCCCCTGCTGTGGGTAAAAGGG